CCTTTCCCTCTCCCTCACCCGCTACCGCTCCCTTCCCCTCTCCCTCTCCCGCTCCCTTTCCCTCCACCTCCCGCTCCCTTTCCCTCTCCACCTCCCGCTCCCTTTCCCTCTCCCTTGCCCTCTCTCTCCCTTTCCTGCGCCCGCTCGCGCCACCGCAGCTGAGCGTGACGTTCAACCTGGCAGGATGCCAGCTATGCTAGTAATACACTTACCGAAAAGAAAGATAGCAGCTATCACTCCGGGTCTCAGTGCTGAGCTAGTGAGATGATGAAACAGAACAGCGCAGCGGTGAGGAACGATTGCGAATTCGAGCGCGTGAAATGCAATCTGCGAAATATTTAATAATAACAGAAGTAGATAATAGGGAATTCCTTATTATCTACTTCTAATAATAATATAATATAATGGCCGAGCGCTTTCGAAAGTCGCTCGCGAGGGTTGTGGGATCGAGCATTAGATACACAGCGAGAAAGAAATACCGAGAGAAATCACTGAAGAAATGCGTTTCGTTAGCGCAGATGGCATCCGCTATTGGTGTATGTCTAACGCTGGCTTGGTGGCAGTGGTTGTAGGGGGGAATTCGAGCGGGGTCCGTTCCGCGGTGAAGATCACATAGGCGATAAAACTTTGGCGGTAAATTTTCTTCGTATTTGATATCATTTTATGATTTTATTAGCTCATCTGACGAAGTCAGATGCAGCTTGTAGAATCGCCTGATTGTCCGTGCGTGCGTGCGTGCGTCCGTCATGTTATCATGTAAATCCTCATCATGTTATCATGTTATCATGTGACTCCTTAAATCATGTTATTTTCTAAAGTAGTCTGTATATTAATAGCACCCTGAATGTTCGCGTGGCTACCGTCATCCGAAATGTAGGCAAAAACCCGGGGGCAACCCATTACTCATGCATGGGGTGAACTGGCACTTTTCGAATAAACATGCACACCTGCAATGCAGATGTGTTTAATTTATTACTCACAGCTAAGCGAAATTGTCGCCTGCCTGAATATACTTGGATTTTAGCCTGTAAATTTCAGCAACTCAATGGAATTAGGGCATCTCTACTTTCTTGGCTCATCACCAATGCACGAAGGGCGATGCCATTTTTGATTATTGATTACACTTGCACGCGCCATCTCGCGGCAACTATAGGCCTAGTCACCCCTAGTGATACGTTATGACACGAATATATAAGACAGTCGAGCAGGTATGAAGTAGGATGCATTGTTAGGGTTTAGTTTTAGCGTTAATACCTATGCTACACATTTTGATGATGACGTAGCCGGCTTAGCGATAGAACAGGCTTTCAACCTTTTGCAGAAACGAAGGCCAGCACAGTAGAGCAGCAGACCTCAGATGAGCACTGTCGCTAATGCGGCACTTGTTAGTATTCGATCGGCCCTGATCGGCCCGATCGCCCCGGGGTCCACTGCTGCACACGTCCCGTGCACCGTCCGAGCGCATTCGTTATATTTGTTTTGACAGAGTGCGCGTAAGCACAGACGTGGTGGTGGTGGTGTGTGAGAGTGTGTGTGTGCTGTGTGTGTGGGGGGGGGGGCGTCAATGTGACTTGCGAAGGTAGCGTCGCACGTGCGCTTGTTGCTGAGGTGTTGCCCGCGGGAAAGGGGCGCCGCCGTCGGGCACGTGACGGCAGAACAGACCTTAGCTAAGGGAAGGTCAAACAGAAGTGGATACCTATCAAGATACCTATAGTAGTCTGGGGATGGTAGCGGTGAATGGGAGGGGGGTAGAGACTGGGGATGGAGCTGTAACTGGGGGTAGAGACTGGGTGTGGAGCGGTGACTGGGGGTAGAGACTGGGGGTGGAGCGGTGACTGGAGTGGGGTTGTGACTGATAGTGGGGTTGTGACTGGTAGTGGGGTTGTGACTGGTAGTGGGGTTGTGACTGATAGTGGGGTTGTGACTGGTAGTGGGGTTGTGTGACTAATAGTGGGGTTGTGACTGATAGTGGGGTTGTGACTGGTAGTGGGGTTGTGACTGATAGTGGGGTTGTGACTGATAGTGGGGTTGTGACTGGATAGTGGGGTTGTGACTGGTAGTGGGGTTGTGTGACTAATAGTGGGGTTGTGTGACTAATAGTGGGGTTGTGACTGATAGTGGGGTTGTGACTGGTAGTGGGGATGTGTAACTGGGTGCCTGTGTGGCACTGACCGACTGCGGCTGTGCTTGTGACTGGTGCTGCCACCGCGGCTGTCATCGTATTAAGTCATCGCCTACGTTTCCAGTTGTTTTTCCTTTACTCTCGTCCTCCCTGTAGCTCGCAGCTTGTAGCTGTCCCTGTAGCTCGCAGCTTGTAGCTGTCCCTGTAGCTCGCAGCTTGTAGCTGTCCCTTACTGCTCGCGGCTGCTGCGAAGCTGATCCCCGCACTACCCTGGGTACGCGAGCCTCTGCGGGGGCGCGGAATGTCCGCGGGTCGAGACTCCCGTAGTGCAGGGTAATCAGTCGAGTTTTTTCCTCATCTGTCTGCAGTGGCGGGGGGGGGGCGAAATTTTTTTTACCACTTGAGTTCCGGACCACAGCCAATCAGCGCACTCCATTCACTCGACTTCCTCGAAGCAACAATGTCAAATGAATACCCCCTATCCCTAACCCTAACCCTAACACTAACACTAACTATAATCCAACCATATATATACGAACCATATATTACAAAACACTATCTATGGTGGGTCCGGACTCCAGTGGAGAATAATATTTCACTGGCGCGGGGAGGCAGTGAGCACGGTAGAGGACCGCCCCGAAGTAATACAACCCCTCCCCGTGAGGTGCATGCATGTTGTATCTGGCTTGCGTGTATGGAGGTGAGGGTACTCGGCCTCACCCCCCCCCTCCCGACTGATCCCACCCCGAAAAGCACCTGGTGGGGCCGGCCAATTATATCAAGAGCTAATAATACCAAATACTAATGATTATAGCAAGAGTAGATAATAACTCTTAGGTAAAAACCTGTGTATATTTATCAACTCTTGGATTTATAGATGGTGGTGTTTCGTTCCGGACTGTCCACTTCTGCATATCGTCGCACTGGGGGCCAGGGGAGGGGAATTATAGCAGTGAGTGTTTAGTGCCGCGTTACGGTTTACAGTGCGATTGACTCGACAGAGATTCTGAACGCTGGAGAGGGTCTATGTCCCATGGGGGTACTTGCCCGAACGTACGCTGGGCCTAGGTCCGGTATACCCCGTACGTATCCCCTGGTACTATCCTAAGATGGCAACCGCTGATACCCATCGCGTACTCCATCTTAACAAGTCTAGGAGTCGCCTACGCCTACTCCTAACCGTAACGGCCTAACGCAGGTAACGTTCGCCGGGTAATACCGGACCGTACCCCGGTACATTCTTGGCAGTATCTGTCATGGCAGAGATGCCACCCACTACGAGTTTATCCGTATTTATACGAATTTCGATCCCTTTTGGCACACTACGACCAGTGTATCAAAACTACAATTTGACTGTGATCGAAAATTTTTTTTTTTTTCAATTTTTTGTATCTTTGAACCCCTTCAGAATGCAGGAAAATTGCATCTAGAATCACAGGGGGGCGGCAGTCCGGGACAATTTCGCGGGGGGCATGCGTGACTCGACTACTAATTGATGGCCATAAACTAACAGATTTGCTCAAATTATGTGTTTGCATCTCTGCTGGGGGACATAGACCCTATGAGCGGTACTACACCGCTCTTGCGAGTAAGGGGAGATTTCGATCATTCGTGCCGGTGGACTAGATTTAAAGGTAGAGGAGTGTAGATTGAGGTGAGTACTTATCGTATATTGGTATATCACTATATGATAGATTGTGCAGTGCTTGCGTGCGGTTGTGCCCGCGTGTGTGGTGTGGTGTGTGTGCGTGTGTGGTTCGGTGTGTGTGTGCGTGTGTGTTGTAATGGGTCGGTGTGTGTTCAGTGTGTGGCGCGCATGTTGCGTGTGTGTGGGTGAGTGTGGTTGTGTGTGTGGTGGTGTGTTGTTGTCGTGTGTGTGTGCGCGCGGCGCGGTGTCGGTGGTGTAGGTGTGTCGGTTGTGGTTCGAGATTGATGTTATGAAAGATAAAAACGCAAGCTCAGATTTAAATCGAGCGAGTGATATATAGTCATTATATGAGTAATAGAGATGACTATATATAGATATACGGAAATATTTTTCTTATGTATATATAGTAGAAAAGTTCTGATATCACAATATCCGCTGTGCGATTATGTGATATATAGTATAATACCTGAGGGTAACGAGGGGGTGGTCGCAAGAGATAGAGAGAGATGAGAGGAGAACTCCGACGGCGCCGCCCGAGAGATCGTGATGAGGCCTTGATCACGCCTGTTGGTAGGACAAACTCTGTTAGCGAGTGCGTGCGTGGTGTGTGTGCGGTGTTGGATCGTGATTTATAAAGTAGACATGAACGTGAGTTATAGATGGGGTCCATCTGGTGTATAACAAAAGGGACACCATGAGCTAAGAGTATACAACAGTGCGTGTGTACTATCTAGAAATCTTACTGATAATCCATCCCTAAGCCGTGTAAGCGCCTAATCGACTGGATATGAGATATCGGGGATTCACCGAGCGATTACACGAGTAGCCGTGGTAACATAACATAGACTTCATTACATTTTATCGATGATTTTAGTAACATAGACTGCGAATAGTAACATAATGAACTTAGCTACGTAATTTTACTACTACTCACGCTGCCTGCCTAGCCACTCGCATACCACAATACTTCGCTATAGGTGTTATGCTCCTCCAGGGTATGCCGGAACGTACGCCTTGGTAGCGGTCGGTGATCCGGAACCCACGCACATGCTGCCGCCCTCGCGTGCGGCGTTTGTACCCTGGTGCACCATCTTGATATGGTTAGGTTAGGATTAGGGGTTAGGTTTTCGGGTTACGGGTTTGGTTAGGGTTAGGTAGGGAGTAGGCGGATCTCCCTAGCACTCGTAGTTGGATAGGCGAGGTACGTCCGGCATATAGATAGTACCAGGGTACGTTCCGGCAGTACCGCGGGGGACATAGCCCCTCTCAGCTATAGTTACTGCCTGCCTACTCAGCCCTAGCCACTTACTAGTACATACCACGCTTCACAAATAACATACCTCCTACTTCTACGCCCAATACCATCTTCACTACTATCAATCCTTCTGCTTGCCATATTACTTTCTCACCTTTAAAGCCAACTTGCCCTTCTCACTACCACCACCCTTCCTGCTTACCCATTTGCCTTCTTATCTACATTGCCCGTTTATCTCTTTGCCCCCTCGAGCATGTGCGAAATAAAACCGCGGAAAAAAACATTGGCACAAAAAAGGACCCGGCAGCGTGAACGGGTTGAACCTGGATATATAGCAAACACCACCAAACCAGTATTCAGTAGCTAGATGTGGCAGGGCCCCGAGCGATGGTGATGCTTGTGAGGCCAGTAGGGCTGAGAGGGTGAATTTGAATTATATGGGCCTGGATGTGGTGATGTGGGGCGTATGTAGGCACCTGGGTGCGACCTCGCGCAGCGCAGATTTGAGCTGTGGAAGGTGATGAGACGCATGAGTAATACTAAATGTAAGCGTGTGAATCGCTGCGTGCGCAAATGCACGCACACTGCAAGCAGCAGCAACTAAAAACGACCAGCGGGATTTTGAATTTTCTTCTAAATAAATCCGATGAATTTATTTCCGGTCTTTCCGGGAACTAGTCCTCCTTCCAATGGCACGATTTAATCAGGTCACTGAGGGTTAGGAGCGCTGAGGGTTAAGGTATGCTGAGCGCATCTGACTGCCTCCCAGGGAGTCCCAGAGCCACAAAGAAAGCCTTATGTAATCAATGGAGTAAGAGGTTAATGAAAAGCTTGCTAATCGAATCTGCTCTACCCCCTAACGTACATGCCTTCCTCGTGTCAGAGTGAATATTATAGATCTATATTAGCAAAGAGCGTATTAAAGTTCTAACGTCCACGAATCTCCAGAAAATTATTTTAGAAATAATAGTGAAACCTTATTTTTGTATTCTTTTTTGGGCATGCAAAAAGTTAGTACTAACGTTAGCCTCAATCTTAGTCCTCTAACCTCACTCTGATAAAAATAGTTTTTCCGGTTGTTAAATTGGCAAAAATCTTGAAGCGATTTGGAATTAGTGTTGTCTAACACTATTTACATATTACTGGCGCGTCTGTTGCTGGTACTGTTTTGCTGTGGTCGATTGTGCAGTCGTGCTTTGTGTATGGTGCACTGAAAGTGGTGCCCAAACGTTTCTGTTTTGATTTGTGTTGGCTATATAGAATATACAATATTAGAACAAATAAATAATAATGTTCATCGTGTATTATGTTTGAAAATTCATTCATAAACTGTGCGAAATGTATTTTGTGTTTTTTAATTTATCTGCTCAAAAATGTTTGTTGAATCCGACCTTTCAGGATAAATGCAGAGGCTAGATCAACTAAACGTAAATCAAGTGGTGGCAGACCAGTGCATCGGCAAGAAACGAAAAGAAAAAACAGAAAGAGATTATAGTGAGAACTCACCGCTTAAGTTTACAACGGATTTTCCCTGCTTGCCACAATAATTTTGGCATTGCCTTCGTTAGCCCGCAATGTTCGATATATCGGCTAGCTGGCGTCTGGGTGCCACGCAAGAACTTGTTGAAGATTCATGGCGTTGTTGTTGATGTCGAGCGTTTTGGTGTAGCATCGAATGCACCGGCAAGAGTGTATGGATGTATAAGAAGGTATACTAGCCATCGAAAAGTAAATGAAACGGCTAATTGTATTTTCATACATTTTATTTGGTACAAATAACACACAAATATACTACTTGCCTGGGTGCTCGAAATCCGTGGATCGTAGACAGTTTTAAGAAGGGAGAGCGTACAACGGTGAAATTGCTCTTGAAACCATGCTGCGAGTATTCTACCGAATTAATAAATCTTTCCTCCGTTTTATTTTGCAGCGATTTATTGCAGTATTTATTGATCAGCTGTCCCACCTGTTAATAACTAAACAAACACATGTCCATCGATGCCCCTAAGCTGATGAAAGATGAGCAGTGGAAAATTCTGGCTATTTTCGCCGAAAATCCGACTCGAGATACTGCTGGACTGCGACTGTCTCTTCGCTTTGAGATAACTCGGAGAACCTCGCGTGTTTCCGTGCAATTGATTGACTAAGTGGAATGAATGAACGGTCTGTTTTATTATTGCCATAGTGATGACCCCACCGTGCGACCAACCTTACGGCTGACTCGCTAGTACGTCTGTAGTACTGACGTAATGAGTCAGCGCTACCATGGCGCTACATCAAATGGCACGCGGAAGCATACACTTAGCCACAAAGCGAGAGAGGGTCACAGCCAACCGCGGGATCTCGAGTCGTTTTCCAGCAAAAACTACCTATTGAGATTTTCCACCATGCCATTTATCTCATGCGTAGGCATCCGTAGGGCTAAGCGGTTTGTAGCTCATGCTGACATAGTCAGATGCAGGCTTGTAGAATCGCATGATCGTCCGTCGTCCGTCCGTCCGTCGGCGTATATCCGTCCGAGCGTCCGTCGTCAACAGTTGGGCACAAATCTAACCTAGCTCGACAGTAACGTCCCGATATTTGGACGTCGTGGGGGGGTGGTTATATCCGAAAACGGAGTTGGGATAGTCAAGCTGGGGTCAAAAGGTCAAAGTCAAGAGTGTAAAAAAGGGGAACATTCACATCCTTAACTAGGTATAGGGAGAAATGCAGAATGCGTCACAAAGTAACGGGTCTCGTACCTATTGGCTGCGTGATAGTCGGTGTAATAGCATCATGGTAGGAAAAGCCATCACTGTGCGCGAAATGGAGTCACAGGTCAAAGGTCAATGGCACAAGGGCAGATTTTAGAGATTGTCTGAGGACATCGGCTGTAGACGGAGCGATTTGGAAAACTTTATTGTTATTGTTTTCAGCGGTGACCTACGCATTTATTATGGCTTTTAATTGAAAGTAACCTGATGAAAATGCTGCTTTCCACTGACGTGCGAAGAGTTAAGTGTCTGATAACCTTTGACGCAGACTTCAAGAGGAGTGGATTAAACATGGATTTGTTAACTGTTACTGTGTTAGAAAGAATTTGACTGCTGGGTTCTGCTCTTAGTAGAATCTATACACTGCCTGGATGTATGACGCTAGCAATGTCACAGTGAAATTTCAAAAAGCTAAATTTACTTGAAGAGTATAAGCTCTTAAATCGTCTCATTTCTATGGGCATTGCTGTACTGCTGTCAGTGTGTTAACTATGCGCATGCCAGTGCATGTGGGTGATAGAATGGTGTTAGTCTTTTGGCCTGCGTTAATTAGGTAGGCACGGTGGCAGCTCTCTATTCAGCTGTAGGGCTTGTTCAGGTAATGGACGAGTGCTTACCTATCTTCTGTGGTCTTGGCAAAGTATGATTACTGATAGCTACGTAGTAGTAAGCGTTACGATGGACAAGCTTCCAGCTACCAACGTACCGCGCCAGTCTTCGTGGCCAACTTTTCATAACGACCCAACAACATTTGCTTCGAAAGGCTCTGATATCATCCAGTTTTTGGAAATAAAGGGACCTATCCCGGTTCTCTGTTTCGTACTTTCCACTTCACGGAGGACAAGTAATCTGTCAGGTAGCTTGTCTGCTGACAAGCAGCTTTTTAGAGGCAATTTTTCATCAATTTTCTACCATCGCTTGGCCGCCTGCTGGGCAAACCCGGAGTTAACATAGTATAAACATGGGCCCGGTAGTGGGCCCCCGAATTATCTATTATGCTAACTTATAGTAAAACATGCTTATGTTGAAGTTATAATAAAAAGTTTACAGCCTTGCTAACTCCAGCGAAACGGTCTTTGCTAGGGTTAGAAGACCATCAGATCAATCAGTCGATAGACATCCAGACGCTCTGTATAGAGCAATTCAGTCGTATCAGCCTCGTCCGGCAGCGCTACGCCTCGAGACGAGAAGAAATTGGAGAGAAGGGAGAGAGAGAGCGAGGGAAGAGAGGAGAGAAGAGAGAGTGAGAGAGCGGTGAGAGAGAGGAAGAGAGAGAGAGAGAGAGAGAAAGAGAGAGAGAGGCAGAGAGAGAGAAGAGAGAGAGAGAGAGAGAGAGAGGAGAGAGAGAGAAGAGAGAGAGAGAGAGAGAGAGAGAGAGACGAGAGAGAGAGAGAGCAGAGAGAGAGAGGAGAGACAGAGACAGAGACAGAGACAGAGACAAGACAGAGACAGAGACAGAGACAGAGACGAGACAGAGACGAGAGACAGAGACAGAGACAGAAGACATGAGACAGAGACAGAGACTACGAGACAGAGACAGAGACAGCCGACAAGAGAGCAGAGACAGAGACAGAGATCGAGAGACAGAGACGAGAGACAGAACAGAACAGAGACAGAGGACAGAGGCAGAAGACGAGAGTACCAAGACAGAAGACAGAGACGAGAAGAGACCGAGCAGAGACCGAGACAAGACAGAGACAGCATGAGACAGATACAGAGACAGACAGAGACAGAGACAGAGACAGAGAACAGAGACAGTAGACAGCAGACAGAGACATTGAGACAGAGACCAGAGCAGAGACCGAGACAGAGACAGAGAAGAGACAGAGACAAGACAGAGACAGAGACGAGACAAGACAGAGACAGAGACAGAGAAGCAGAGACAGAGACAATGAGCACTTTTTGAGAGCAGAGACAGAGACAGAGACGAGACATTGATTGACAGGAGTACAGAGACAGAGACAGAGACACGAGACAGAGACAGAGACAGGAGCAGAGACAGAGACAGAGACAAGACCAGAGACGAACAGAGACAGAGACAAGAGACGCGAGACAAGAGTCAAGCAGTAAGACAGAGACAGAGACACTGAGACAGAGACAGAGACACGAAGACAGAGACAGAGAAGCAGAGACAGAGACATTGAGCACAGAGACGGGAGAACAGAGAGCAGAGACGACACAGAGACAGAGAGCAGAGACAGAGAAGCAGAGACAGAGGCAGAGACAGAGACAGAGACAGAGACAGAGACAGAGACCAGAGACAGAGACAGAGACAGGAGACAGAGACAGAAGACAGAGACAGAGACAGAGACAGATGACAGAGACAGAGACAGAGACAGAGACGAGAGACAGAGACAGAGACAGAGACAAGACAAGTCCACCCACCATGGGAGACAGAGACAGAGAAGAGACATGCGAAGACCAGAAGACAGAGACAGAGACAGAGACAGGTATTGACTTATGATGTGACAGAGTAGTCATTAGTGACAGAGACAAGCCAGAGACAGAGACAGAGACAGAGACAGAGACACGAGACAGAAGACAGGAGAGAGAGATAAGAAGAGAGAGAGAGAGAGAAGAGAGAGCAGAGAGAGAGAGGAGAGAGAGAAGAGAGAGAGAGAGAGAGAGAGAGAACGAGAAAGGAGAAAGAGAGAAGCGCGCGAAAGAGTGAGAGAGAAAAAGAGAGCGAGAAGATAGAGAGAGAAGAGAGGGAGAGAGAAAGAGAGAGCAAAGACAAAGTACAAAGAAAGAGAGAGACAACCGAGGTAGAGTGAGTGCGTAGCGAAAGAGAGAGAGAGAGAGAGAGAGCGTGAAGGAAGAGAGGGAGCAAGACGAGAGAGAGAGAGAGAGAGAGAGAGAGAGAAGGAGAAAGAGAGAAGAGAGAGAGAGAGAGAGAGCGAGAGCTGATCGGACAACGAGAGAGAGAGAGAGAGAGCGCGAAGGAAGAGATAGCAAGAGCGAGAGAGCGAAAAGAGAAAGAATGAGAGCACAACGAGGAGGAGCGAAACGCGGCGATGGGAGGTGCTCTGATTCGTTTGCCCTGAGTATTAGCTCAGAACACCTGCCTCAGGCTAAAGCGCTGTCGCTCTGCGGCAGCTTGTTTATATTAGCAAGGTATGACAGGCTGATCAATTAATACTGACAAAGAATCGTCAAAAACAAAAACGGGCAAAGTTTCTTAATTCGACTATCTTGCAGACATGGTTTCAAGCATTTCACCGTTGTATCGCTCTCTTCTTTATAACGCTCTTGATATTATACACTTCCTGGATTGTATCCGGCTGTAACATGATGGGAAAGATTCGGCACTGCCAATTACCGAGATCTGGCGAATACCATCAGAGCATGTACTGTGAGGGTGAGGGAGCATCTGGTTATCAGATGATTTTATGGTGCCTTGCAGAGTTTTGGGTCTGTGTTCGTGGTGCGCGGGCGGCGGCGTGAACCTGTTGCTGTGTCAGCTCCCGGTGGCCAGCATCGTGTAAGTTCATGATGATTGCCACCGGCAGTGCACCAGACACGCTCACCCTTCACGTTCATTTGCGGCCTCGCCGTGTTTCCATACGGCTTTATTAATCACCAGTCTTCCCGGGAGGCGGGCAGGCAGAACTGAAGCTATTCTGAATTCGCTAATGAGGAATTCCTATTCTTCAACTGATCAGAAGCCATATGTATTTCTCGCCCGTTCACACAACATTCATTGAAGCAGGTCCACAATGAGCTGTTTAGAGCACACAAAATTTTCATATCATACTCGTTCAATTAAACAGCCCACAAAAGCTGTCGATCCAATGGCAGAAGTTTAACAGGTTATTGTCCATTGACGTCGTCCATTAAACTCATTCCACAAGCTGTGGAAACCATAGAAGAAAAAAACAGCAGCGTGGCATATATATCGCTGTATGCCACTGTTCTATTACACACATCCACAAGCTGTGAGGCCATAGAAGCAAAAACAGCAGGTGCATATATCCTGTATCCAACTCTACTGCTGTGAGGCCATAGAAAATTCTCGATGCATTCATGTACCGTGAAGCTGTAATCAGTAGGTTCACATGCGATGTTGTCGTTCTCCGATCAGGTGTCTTTGCCGAAGAAAAGTTTCTCCGTGTTTTCGTACAGGGCATCGCAGAGTTGGTCTGCACTCGTGCCACGGGCACCTGACATCACCTCTAGCACCTGAACGATGTTTGCCGGCTCGTTCCTCCCCTTCACGCACTGACCCTCCTGCCACCGGTCCTTCTTCTTCGATGGAAATGTTGTCTTCACATGCTTGTATCCTAAAAATGGGTGTGGAAGCTGCATTTATCGATTGCACTGGGTTATACTGCAGTGTTCGGGTTAGCGTCGTTACCTAATTTTGTCCGTTCAATCAGGTTACGTCAGTTAATTTATTAATTTAGTGACATGGCAAATTCGATGGGGAACGTGTACCGCCCCCCACCCCTGATTCCAGGCATGATATAAAACCAACCTGCGTGTGTTGCCTTGACTTCACACCAGGGGGCGTCTGTCTCTATCATAAGCCTATCGGTCGGTATGGAGCACATGACAGCAAGATTCTCCTGTGTCTTTAGCGAGCAGCCATTGATGCCAATGTATAGATCCAGGTCCAGAATCTTCTTGGCGTCTTCCATCGATCCGTCAAATGAGTGCACAACTCCGCCGGTGAACCTATCGTCCGACGAAATAATTGTATAAAAAGCCCAGCAAAGCTCATATTGTGGCATTGCCCACGTATTTAAGCTACATGGGCCAACATTGCAGTAGTCTTATTTCATTACTTTGAGCCATTGGCTAATAATTTGTACAGTTAGTGAAATGGACAAAGTTGCTGAGCCACCATGTGAATGTATAACTATGCTATAACAACCCTATCATCACCAGGAATAACCATGCGAAAACCCGAAGCGTCTTTTTTTACTTTTGACCAAAATAGATAAATGGTTTTCGCTGCCTACACTGGGGGAGAGCAGGATGGGGGGAGGCAGTGTTGGAATGTGGTACGGCTGGGGAAGGCAGTGTCGCTGCGAGGTGTGGCCGAGGGAGGGCAGTGTTTCGCTGCGAGGTGTGGCCGAGGGAGGGCAGTGTCGCTGCGAGGTGTGGCCGAGGGAGGGCAGTGTCGCCGCGAGGTGTGGCCGAGGGAGGGCAGTGTCGCTGCGAGGTGTGGCCGAGGGAGGGCAGTGTTTCGCTGCGAGTGTGGCGCAGCGAGGGAGGGGGGCCGTGTTGTCGCTGCGAGGTGTGGCCGAGGAGGCAGTGTTTTCGCTTGCGAGTGTCCCGGAGGGAGGGAGTGTCGCTGCGCAGTGTAGGCCCGAGGGAGGTGCAGCTGTTGTCGCTGGGCGAGCGTGTGGCCGGGAGGGCAGTGCTTTCGCGGGCTGCGAGGTGTGGCCGAGGAGGCATTGTTTGCGGCTGACGAGGTGGTGCCGAGGAAGGGGCAGTGTTTCGCTGCGAGTGGGCTGAGGTGAGGGCCAAGTGATCGCCGCGGGTGCTGCCGAGGGACGGGCAGGTGATCGCTGGGCCGAAGAGTGTGGCGGAGGGAGGGCAGTGGTCGCTGCGAGTGCTGCCCCGAGGGAAGGGCAGTGATCGCCCGCGGGTGTGGCCCGAGGGAGCGCAGTGTATGCTGCGAGGTGTGGCCGAGGGAGGGCAGGAGTGTCTCGTGGCGAGGTGTGGCCTGATGGAGGGCAGTGTTTTGCTGCGAGAGGTGTGGCCGGGGAGGGCAGCTTTCCGCTGGCGAGGCTGTGGCCGGAGGGAGGTGCAGTGTCGGCCGGGCGAGGTGTGGCCGAGGGTAGGGCAAGTGTCGCCCGCGAGGTGTGGGCGGAGGGAGGGGCAGTGTCGGCCGCGGCGCGGTGTTGGGCGAGGGGATGGGCCAGTGTTTCGCTGCGGAGGTTTTGGCGAGGGGAGCGGCAGTGGGATCTCCGCCGCGAGGTAGTGGGCCGGGAGGAGGCGCATCGTGTCGCATCAGCCGAGGTGTGGCCGAGGGAAGGTGCAGTGTCCGCTCGACGAGCTGGGCCGCAGGGAGGGCAGTGTTCGCTGCGAGGATTGGCCCGAGGCGAGGCAGTGTCGCTGTCGAGGTGTGGCCGAGGAGGCATGTCGCTGCGAGGTGGTGGCCCGAGGCGAGGGCAGTGTCGCCTGAGCGAGGCTGTGGACGAGGAGGCAGTGTCGGCTGGCGAGTTGTGGCCCGAGGGAGGGCCCGTTGTCTTCGGGGCTGGCGAGCTGTGGCCGAGGGAGGGCCAAGTGTCGCTGCGAGGTGTGCTGAGGGAGGCCAGTGTCGGCTGCGAGTGTGGCCGAGGGAGGGCAGTGTCGCCGCCACAGACGGGGGTGGGGGGGCGGAGGGAGGGCAGTGTCCACGGGCGGGATGTTGGCCCGAGCAGAGGCAGTGTCACTACGGGGGTGTGGCCGAGGAGCAGTGTCCGGCGCGAGGTGGGCGAGGAGGGCAAGTGTCCGCCGACGAGGGGGTGCCGAAGGGAGGGACATGTCGCGGACGAGGTGTGGCTGAGGAGGGCAGGGGTCGGCTGCGAGGTGTGGCTGAGGGAGGGAGTGTCGCGCGAGTGTGGCCGAGGGAGGGGCAGTGTCGGTGCCTGCGAGTTGTGGCCGGAGGGAGGCAGTGTCCGCCGGAGGTGTCGGCCAGGGAGGTGCAGTGTCCGCGCGCGAGGTGTGCTGAGGGAGGGAAGTGTTTCGCTGCGAGGTGTGGCTGAGGAGGGCAGTGTCAGACCGCGAGCGTGTGGCCCGAGGGAGGGCAATGTGTCGGCTGCGAGTGATGGCCGAGGGATGGCGCATTGTCGCCGCGAGGTGTGGCCGAAGGAGGCCAGTGTCCGCCGGTATGCGAAGTTGGCCGAGGGAGGGAGTGTCACCGGCGAGGGCTGTGGCCCGAGGAGGCAGTGTCGCGCTGCGAGGTTGCCCGAAGGAGGGCATGTCGCCGCGAGGGTGGCCGAGGGAGGGCATGTCGCGCGGGCGAGTGGGGCCGAGGGAGGGCAGTGTCACCAGCGGAGCGAGGTGTGGCCGAAGGGAGGGCAAAGTGTTCGGCTGCGACGTGGGCCGAGGGAGTGCAGTGTGCGCCGCGAGGTGGGCGAAGGGAGGCACGTGTTTCGCTGCGATGTGTGCGCTGAGGGAGGGCAGTGCGCAGGAGGGTATGGCTGAGGGAGGCCAGTGTCGTTGCGAGGGTGTCGGCGCCGAGGAGCAGTGTTGCCGCGAGGCTGTGGGCCGACGGAGGGCAGTGTCGCTGCGAAGGTGTGCGCCGGAGGAGGGCAGTGCTTCCCGCGAGTGTGGCCCGAGGGAGGGCATGTGTCCCGCGAAGTGTGTGGGCCGAGGGAGGGTCAGTGTCGGCTGCGATGGTGTGGGCTGAGGAAGGGCGGTGTCGCTGGGCCGAGGTGTGGCCCGAGGGAGGCAGTGTTGCCGGGTGCGAGGCGTGTGTCCGAGGGAGGCAGTGTCGCTGGCGGACGGTGTGGCCGAGGGAGGGCAATGTTTCGCGTGCGAGGTGTGGCCGAGAGGGAGGGTCAGGTGTCGGCTGGCGTAGGTGTGGCCGAAGGGAGGGCCCAGTGTCGCCCCGCGAAAGGTGTGGGCCGAGGGGACGGGGCAGTGTCGACGCGCAGGTGTGCTGAAGGAGGGTCAGTGTCGCTCCACGAGGTGTGGCCGAGGAGGGCAGTGTCGCTGCGAGGTTGTGGCCGAGGGAGGGCAGTGTCGCCTGCGAGGTGTGGCCGAGGGAGGGCATGTGTCGGCCTGGAGGTGTGGCCGAGGGAGGGCAGTGTTTTCGCTGCGAGGTGTGCCGAGGACGAGGCAGTGTTCGCTGGGCGAGGTTGGCCGAGGGAGGGGCAGTGTCGCCGCGAGGTGGTGGGCCGAGGGAGGGCAGTGTTTCGGGCTGTCGAAGGTGTTGGCCGACGGAGGGCAGTGTCGCTGCGAGGTCGTGGGCCGACGGGAGGGAGTGTCGCGCTGAGCGAGGTGTGGGCCGAGGAGGGCAGTGTTCTCGAGCATGTGAGGTGTGGCGAGGGAGAGGCAAGTGTTTCGCTGTCAGGTGTGCGCGAGGGAGCGGCAGTGTTTCGCTGCGAGGTGTGGCTCCGAGGGAGGGCAGTGGTTTCGCATGCGAGGTGTGCCTGAGGGAGGGCAGTGTCGGCCTGCGTAGTGGTGCTGACGGGAGGGCAGTGTCCGCGCGAGGTGTGGGCCGAGGGAGGGCAGTGCGCTGCCGGCAGGTGTGGCCGAGGGAGGCAAGTGTCGCCGAGGGGTGTGGGCGCGGGAGGGCAGTGTTTCGGCTGGCGAGGTGTGGCCGAGGGAGGCAGTGTATTCTGCTGCGCAGGTGTGGCCGAGGAGGCAGTGTGTTCGGGCTGCGGTAGGTGTGGCCGAGTGAGGCGCAGTGTACGGCCGCGAGCGTGTGGCCGAGGACGGCAGTGTCGCTAGTCGAGGTGTGGGCCGAGGGAGGGCAGCTGTTTTCGCTGCGAGCTGTGGCGAGGATGGGCAGTCGTCGCCGCGAGGTGTGCCGAGGGAGGGGAGTGGTGTTCGCTAGCCTGTGGGCACAAAACTGTCGAAGTGGAATCGTGGGTGACACAGTGCGATAGAGGCCAGCTAGGAGGTGTCGTTGTGGTGTGTCGTGTGTGTGTGTGTCGCGTGTGTGCGTGGTGCGTGCGTGCGTGGGTGCGTGTGCGCGTGCGTGTGTGTGGATGGTGCATGTGCGTGTGCGTGTGGTGCCATAGCACGCAATTCTGTGTGTGCGTGCGTGGCGTGCGTGCGGTATTGCGTGCGTCCTGGGGTGCGTGGCCGTGTTGCGTGGTAGCCGTGCGTGACGTCGCGTGGCGTCGTGCGTGCCGTTGCGTGGGGCGTGGTGCGTGCGGCATGCTGCGTGCGTGTGTGCGTGCTACCCGCCACGGTGCATACCGGTGTCGATGCTTGCGTAGCAGGGAGACCAGGTCGTCGGTAGAGCCGCGATTGTGCAGGAACATCGGGAGTCGCGTCACCTCGGCGAGATCAAACTGCTTCTCAAAGTACTTCAGCTGCGTGTCCTTGGGACAGAAGTGGAGTCTGTCGTAGTCGAGGCCACACTCGCCAACGGCTACCACCTAGTAACACGGAATACATGATCAATGTTTACCTTTGTGGCACGCTTATACACTCTGTGAGAATCAAGGATAGTTTGGGACCCCGCAAATGCATTTTCGCATATGCGCTAAACTTATCCCGGGTGCTAAACTAGGCTTGGGACCATTGTGATAGCTGCTGGCATCTGATAGAAGAACATGAGAATACATGCTGAGAGACAACATTTTCGCTCAAGTTTTAGAAACTAAGATAACCCAGTGTAACTACTGTCCATAGCGGCTCCCTGTTTAGCTTCATATACTAAAATATTATCAGGTCGATCTGCATACTAATTATGCTAGTCTGTGCCGTGGTAGGCTTGTCTGTGACTTAGGTTTCCCCTTTTTATATGCACTAAGGGTAAAATAGCTTGTGGTTAGTGAATCACATTGGTTACCTTTCCCTTGTTGTCATTGATGAGTTTCAATAAATTGCTAACGTATCCATCTACTCCATGTTTCTCAAACTCCTGGCATCGTGTTGGATGACAGCCCACAGTAACGTACAGCAAGTCTGAAAGAGTTGAAATTGGTAAACACTACTTCAGCCTCAGGTCAATATAGCCTTCATCTCTGTCACCACTTGCATTGCAGAATGCTGGAGACTACGCTAGTGCTATAGATAATTGCTGGGGTACATTATGATTTATTATATTAAGTTAGGGGATAATAATTCTATACATGACAATAGGCCTACCATTCGAGTTGGCAAGTTCCAGTGCCTGCGTACTGTCTTCTAAACTTCCGCCGGTTACGATGAGCTTTTTTACGCCAACGTCTACTGCTCTCTTTAACATGTCGGTAAAGTCATCCTGGTGCTTCTGAGATCCATGGTAGACTCCCCTGAACATGCCATCTGTTAGGTTTACACCTATATCTATAAATCTGAAGCACGAGACACCCGCCCTGGGGGCTGCCATATTGAATGTTGTCGTTTGGCTCGCGATCTAGATGGTAACCGCTTTGCGTTCTACATTAGTTCTAATGTACACACGTGTTACTATCTGTGCCAGTCTATAGAAAGTGAAAGTTGTGCCGTATGGCTTAGTAGGTGGCAGCAGCGATCAGTGTGTTCAGAGAATGTATTATGATATCGGGCACTCTGCACGTATCTTGTGTGTTCAAAGATTGTATCAGAGCACATAATAACATAAACTTATCTAATTTATACTGATGGTGATGAGCTATCTAGTGTTAAGGGCCATGTATAAATGTCACTTGGGCATAAAAAATATAATGGAGATTTAACCGGAATTAGTTTGTCTGGGATTTTGAAGTATCCAGTATATACCTATATATCTATCTATAATATAATAGTCAGATAAATAAACACGTACTTTTTCATCCAATTTTATTGATTACGTCACCGTAAATAGTAAAAAATGAAACACTTGGACGTGCTCAATAAAAAAAAAGGCTAAATAACAACGAAATGTATTATTACAACAAGTCTTAAATGTTCTACTCTATTTCGCCGATAATCACCTGTCAAATGCCGGTCATTTGCTCATCTGCAACACACAAGTACACCGACGCTTAGCTGCTGCACACTGACACATAACATTTATAGTGTCTATATATTATGTGATCAGTGGCAAGCAGCTAGAGTGTTTCGGCGGCCAGCGCTTGACGAGTGTGTTGACAGATGAGCATTTGACGCGGCATTTACGCAAATTGTCAGGCAATAATAAGTGAAAGAGAGTAGAGAAACATTAAGACTTTGTAGTAAATAGATTTGCGTATTTATTTAGCATGTATATCTTTATTGAGACGGTCAAGTGCCTGATGGTTAATAGCAGCTCATTACGGTCCTATGCTGCTTCCCCAGGGTACTGCGCGGAACACGTACTCCTAGACGTGGTTTACACGCCCTATAGACGAAGGTCGATAGACGGAAGGTTATGTGCTTCCAAGTGTCTAAGGATGCAGTTTTCGAATACGCAGTGGCTGACGCGTCCGGAACCGGTCGCCCAGCTCAGGCTACGCATCCGGACATCGATCACACAGTGATCTCCGCGACTCGCGTCACACCATGATTGCGCAACGGGATAATCTCTCTCTCATCTCCTCTCTCTCTCTCTCTCTCTCTCTACTCTCTCTCTCTCTCTCTCTCTCTCTCTCTCTCTCTCTCTCTCTCTCTCGCTCTCGCTCAGGTCGCTTCTCGTCCTCGCTCTCGCTCGTCGCTCTTCGCTCTCGCTCTCGCTCTCGCTCTCGCTCTCGTCTCGCTCTCGCTTCGCTCTCGCCTCTCGTCCCCTCGCGCTCTCTGCTCTCGCTCTCGCTTCTCGCTCTCGCTCTCGCTCTCGCTCTCGCTCTTCTGCTCTCTTCTCTCTGCTCTTCTCTCTCTCTCTTCTCTCTCTCTTCCTCTTCTTTCCCCTCTACTTGACACACACGCACGCACGACGCACGCACGCACGCAAGCGCCTGGCACGCACGCACGCAACGCAGCGCGCCGGCACGCAGCCGACGCACACAACACACACACACTACCACACACCACACACACGGCAATCAGCAGAGCGTGCCGATTGCCGCGAACCATTGCATGATGTGGTCTATCAGGTCCTATCCATAAGACTTCCAAATTTCTTCGGTCGCTAGTCGCGACCTTCGGTCCTATAGGATGACCCACCTTGGGTTCGCTCCGGTATACCTGGAACAGTTAACCGGCCTGGATCCAACTATTTGATATGGTTCTGGGTTAGGTTTTAGATCTAGGGCGTTAGGGTTAGGGTTAGGGTTATGGGTACAGGGAGTAGGCGTAGGCGACTCGCTAGAACTCGTTTAGATGGAGTAGAGCGAGAGTTACTTCGGACTATTAGATAAGTACCAGGCGGTACCTTCCGCAGTTACCCCGGGGAGACATAGACCCTCTCAGCGTTTAATAGACCTAATTAACATTGTAACAGGTCTCACGGGCATGCTTACAAAATATATGTGTATGTTCATATATATATATATATATAGATATTATAATGATCTAGCTAAATAATTTAGGCATTATAATTATAATTTCTTGCCTTATATAACTGACGAATGGTTACAGGTGTAGTGCTATAATTGTTGTGCCATTTTACTTGAAGCTTAATTGCTATGCATACACAATTTGAGGTTTGTGTAACTAATTACAATTCTACTACTGCTATCGATAATATAAGGGTTCACAGTTACTGAAATGTATAATTAATTTTCTTCACGACATGTAATTGATTATCCTATGCATGTGCTTACCGTTAGCGTTCTAACAAGTATTGATCGCGTTTGCGATTGGTTGACCTACATTCAAGCAGAAAAAATTGTTTTCGCGACTAAAAACTGCACGCCCACAATTTCTGCGTCATTTAAATTCGCCACCCGCAAGAGCAGAACAGAACTTATTCTACGCGTGCCGGCACTGGCTGGCACCTACAATCAGGAATCGGAACAACTACCATGGTTAGCACAGGATCAATAATTCAGGGTTTCGCAGCACGCTACACGCTAGCTTGGCACACACTACGCCGTCAAAACACACACACAGAAGTGAACACAAACTCGCTCGTGTAAATGTACAGCACGAATTGATTGCCACCCCAACACTACAGTAATACGTTTGAAGACTGTCGCGATATGCAAACGAAATGCAAATATGGCCAATACATCAATTTCCCATCATAGCAACCGGCAACACGCTGCACCTATTCAAATGGGCAATATCATACAGTAAATCAATGCCATGAACCAAATAGGCCACACATCTCGTTGTCTATTGTTGGCGGCGATTATCT